GTAGTAATAAAAATATTGCCCCTCCCCCTCATCCCACCAATTAACATGTAATTGTATCCACCATGGGGCTTACATACAATAAAGTATCAACATATATCTAATCAAAATAGACAATAGACAAGAATTATATAGCCTATTCTCCAATCCAAATTTCAAAAATTACAACCACAAAGATAAATTTATACACATTTTAAACACAACTAACAAACGATGTCTACTCGGGTTATTAAATTACATACAGAAAGCCTACAAAATAAGAAAAGAAAAGGTGATAATTAATTAATGTATTGTTGTGCTATATTTTCAGTGTGATTTAGTTGTTGTTTATTTGAAGTCTATTATTGTATTGTACGTGTAGTTTGATTGTAGTTTATTTCAAAAAAGCTTTAATACATCAATTACCAAAGCATTATTCTATTCTATTCTATCTAATCAGCTGGCAAATATAAAGTGCGCCCCCACACAATAAGTTTGAACAAATTAAAGCAGCTTCAAAGTTTGAAGGCAGAATATGCCTTAATATTTACCCATTGATATATATGTTATTTTTTCAAAAGATGCTCTGGTCATACATACTACATGCAAAATTGCAATTGGTTAAAGCATTCATGAGACACACATGCTCAAATTGTCATTTTCGCTGAAAATTTAAGATGGTGGCCAAACCATGAGACTAATCATTTCTGAATAAATCAGATTAAAATAAATGGTTGGCTAAATTTTTTCTTTATTTTTTTTTTTGCCGAAAAGAGTGATTTTGCGGAGCACCCTGAAGAGATGTTTCACGCTTGAGTGTCATTTGCATACCGAAAAGTGGCGGCCATCTTTCCTTTTATACACCCAGACTGTGCATGCATTTATATAAAAACAGACAAAATAAACAACTTAACAAGAAACTCTTGATAATCAATACTGTTGCATGTGTCTGTTTCTATAACGAACCTACTTCTTGTGCTGAAAAGGTATACGTAACTGTATTATGTAAATCATATGTAAATTACATGCAAATTTTGAGTAGTTATAATATGTAAATCAGGAAAATGAAGGTTACTTAAAAAAAAATCCAAATTTGCCTCAGCAATGACCAATTGTTATGTTTTCTTTGACTGTGACTTTGGCATCAGTGATTTTATTAGTCATCGTTCGGACTCAGTCCGAAAACAGGGACTTGTGTTTTGACCTCTGTGTGTCCTTGTGTCCGTACGCGAGTCCGGACCTGTATCTCAGAAATGCCTGGACCAATCACAATCAAACTTCACACATACATCATACATGATATTATACATGTGCACATCAATTTGTTTCACAATCTAATTTAAGATGGCCGAAACCCGGTGGCTTTCACGTACAAAACCATTCTTGCAGCAAAATAATTGTAACGTCAAAAAATAATTAAAATAAATAATAATTATAGTAAATAATTAAAATAAATAATAATTACAGTAATTATATAAAAAAAAAATTAAAAAAAAATTAAGCCAACCAGGATCTTATTTTAATCAGATTGTGTTTTCCCATAACAAACTTTACCCATACATGCTCCATACAAGTTGATCTAATAAATGCCACAAATTGTGGTCATTGAAGATGGCTACCAAACCACACGACTGATCAAAATTATTTAATTTTTCTTGTAAGAAGCTTTGGCCATATATGTTATATACAAAGTATCGAGTGGATGTACTCATGGGAAACAAATAACCAAACATTTGGTAGTTTTTGACAAAATCACATTACATATAAAAAAAACTATTTGATCAAAATACTAGTTTGGTTCTGGCTGATTCCAACTTGAATTGTACACAAAAATTACATTCACCTGAAATATCAAGGCAAACAATGAAACATTTGACCAAAAATGACAAAAAATATTTGCTTAGATTAGAGAATTGATGAGTATTTATGATATGCACAAATCTGATAGAGGTCCACCCAAGGTATCTACATAAAATGTATCAAATCACTTGGGTTGGTAGTTTAAAAGAAAATGTTTTTACCAGATAGAGAATTATAGATATCGTGAAATGAACAAATCTGATAGATCCACCCAAGGTATAGCATATCAAAGCAAGTCTGCTGGTAGTTTTGAAAATGCAATTATTGACAGCCAACAGATGATGTACAATCACAAATTGAACAGTAAAAACTACCAAATAATTATCGAACCTTTACACATAAATGCTAAGATAGAACTTTTACTTTAATATGTTCAATCATGAAATAGTAGTCAATATCCCAATAAATCTACAACAAATTCAGAAAGTTTTCAAAATGGCCCCTTCTAGTTAAACTTCAATCCAAGATGGCTACTGAACCAATTGACCAATCAAAATTCTGAAAGTCAGGTAGAAATTACATTAGGGTCTATCATTATAAAAAAATTCAGACTATTCCATTTAGACAGATTGATGAAAAAATGGCACAAAAAGAAAAACAACATGAACAAATATGGCTGGTGATGTGCAATTTTGGTAAGAGAACAAGTAGACCCATTGTTAGACTGGCACAGTCCAGGCAATTTATTTCTTTTTAAAATTAAAATTAAATAAAATTATCGCGAGGTGCTGACACAAAATCCCCTGTAATGGCGAAATGGTGGTTTTCGTGCTCACCCCAAATTTTGCAAAAATTGTTTTCCCCACGTATTTTTTTTATTATAATTTAACTGAGAAAAAATCCCGACAGCTGGGCCAGTCAAACCCATTGTCCACTCACTCACTTACCCTTGAACAGCTAAAACAAGAACAATGAACTAGCTTTTTGACATAAATATTTATTCAAAAATCTCTTTGTATGCTTGATGCAGCAACACTGTGATAGAAAACATACATAGTAATCCTGCAAACTGACGTCACAATACCATTGATTCCCAGAATCCATTGCAATTTTTTTAAACAAATATTCATAACTTGATTCAGCTGACAATAGAATGTTGCATGGTACAGATGTAGTAGGGTAGTGACAGTTGACAAATCACAACACACTCTATATGAAGCATACATCAGACAGACTAGGTTACCATGGAAGCAATAATTGCAACCATCTTGCCATATTTTATCAACCCAACAGTTGAATTTAATATCATCACTGATGTCACAAAATATATTGTCATTTACATATATTAATTTCTGTGTTTCCTTCCTAAGACATCACAAATAGATCACATATCAAGTGTGCCATTTTATCTACGTTGGTGTACACACAACACCAGTTAGCAAAAAACTATTAAAATCTATTCTCTGTGATACCATTGGCAGATTATCATCTTAAAGATAAATATTTACATACAATTAATATGTACAGCCTAAGTTACACAGATTTAAAAACACATGTGCCAAAAATACTGAACTGAGATTATACATTGATTGATAACATAATAAAGTTAGAGAAAAAATTGAACAAAGACAGCTTGAGTTAATACAGTACAAGTATTGTTGGTGACAGACAATAATTACATCACAGGCAAAGCAAAAAAGTCATTGAATTTTTTATTATTGGATTCAATGATCATTTCTAATGTGAGTTGTCAATTCAGACTAGTCTGTTATTGCACTGTAGACTTTGCATGATAGCCAATTCAACCATGGTTGATAACAATCATAACATCTGTAAGGGCCAATGTTTTACTGGGTCAGATTGACCAAAGCCAACTTTTTTTACCTTTCCCAAAATAAACTTGTATACCCCCCCCCCCCAATTTTGATTGAGACTTGTAGTCCTGTAGTCCAATCATGCAGTCCTTTCCCGCAGCTCTAATGGATAACCCTATCACGTAGTTTGGACATGGAATACAAGAATTGTCCTGTATGTATACCATCATAATTAGCCAACAGACAACAAAGACCTTCAACGACAACAAAGACTTTCAATGACAACAAAGTGAGGTAAAACAAATTCATGTTCAGAGCACACATTTTTCTATGAAAATAGACAATTATGGGTAGTTGTCGAAAGCAAATATTGAAAAATTGGAACAACAGCCTTTCATTTTGAATAGTAACAAATAATGCCTTCTACATGTATATATCAAGTTTACCAGTTATAACAGCCTACTATATATATCTATGGAGTCTTGCTCTTATTTTTCAAAATGCCATTTTCATCATTTTCAATTGGTTCGTCTTCATTGTTGTGTTCGCTGTTAATATGTCTTTGAAGATCTTTGATCTGGGAGAAGACATCGTCGCACATACTACATGGATGGAGGGTTAAATGTGAATGCGTTCTCATATGATCTTTAACATGGCATTTCCGCGAGAACATCTTCCCACAGTGTGGGCACATGAATGGTTTCAGGCCACTATGGGCTTTCAAATGAACTTTGCGGTTTTCTTTTCGTGCAAATCGTTTATCACATAGGGGACACTGGTAAGGTTTCTCCCCGCTATGAGAACGCATATGAATTGTCAGGTTCCTGGCTAAAGCAAACACCTTATGACATATAGAACAGGGATATTTTTTTCCTAACGTATGAATACGCATATGTCCCTGTAAGTTGCTCATACATGGAAAAACTTTATCACACTGTGCACACTTGTAGGTTTTCTTTCGTTGACCAAGTTCAGATTCAGAGTGTGTGCGGAAATAGTGCTGCTGCATGTCAACTGTGGTTGAAAATACCTCCGGACAGAGCGAACATTTGTATGTTTTGTCTTTAGTAAGGTGGATCTTCATATGATTTTGAAGATTAGTGTGCGATGAGAAAGTGCGTGAACATTCAATACACTGATACTCGTTGGAAGTTGTTGGTGAGACAGACGCTGATGAAACAGAAAGCGAGGCTGTAGAATTGGCAGAAACTGACAGTGAGGTTACAGATGCACCAAGTCCTTGCTCTGAAATGGACGATACTGCTAATTTATGTGCTACCATAATGTGATTTTCTAACTCTGCTTCAAAGAAAAACACCTGCGTACAGCGGTCGCATTTGAAGTCACGAGAATCCATGCCATGGCCAATAGCATGGGTCTGAATATCAAGCGCACAACTGAAAAGAGCATTACAAATATGACATCGATAATTTTTATCAGGGTATGTATGGTCAATTAAATGACATTGTAGTTTTGCTGGGGAATCATACACATGTTGGCAGAGCTTACACTCATGGTGCATACCTTCCTCTATCATGTGTGTGGTCACATGGATTTGTATGTCCTTTTCAGTTGTAAAGGTTTTCTGGCATTTTATACACTGATATGTTTTCTCTTGTACATGTGTAGACATGTGAGAATCTAAGTCAACCTGTGTTTCACATTTTATTTTACATCTTGGGCAGCGAAAGATTGGCTGCTCCACAACATCTTGCATTTTACCTTGGCATTCTTGGCAGCAATATGTTGGTTTTCCACTACTGTCTAAAACAACAGTCAAATTCACAGTTGAATCAAAGTTATGATGACAATTGTAGCACTGGTACATTTTGATAGAGTCATGTGCTTGGGTGTGATAACGTGCATGTAACTGTAAAGCAGCCATACTGGTGAGGGATTGTAAACACACAACGCAGTCAATAGTGCTGCTGGTACTGCTTTTCTCATTGTTGTGTCGTTGAGCATGACTTAAAAAATCTGTCTCTGAGACAATCATTTCTTTGCATACACTGCAAATACTTGTTGTCCTCTTTGCTATCAACAGTTTATGCTGTTCCATTTCTAGAAGATGGGCACCCAGATGTGACTGCAGGTCAATAGATGAGGTGAATGTTTTCATACACATTGGACACATAAATAATGTTCCACTGATTGGTGAATCTTTCTGCATCTTGTTCTGACTATTAAAACTGTTTTGCATTTGATTGCTATGCTCTAGAATTTGGTGATTTTCAAGTAGAATTTTCACTGCAAACGTTGAACCACAAATATCACAAGAAAAGTTAGATCTTTTTGAAACTTGAACGACTATTTGTTCGTTTGATTGAATTCTCTCTACAGAGTCACCTGGATTCACTTCACCGACATGATCTTTTTCTGTCCCTGGTTCCTGCTTGATTTTGATTACTTTTGTGTCAGTTGACTCATACTTTGAGGGTTTACTATGTTTACTGTTGTCATGGATACTCAACATTTGTTGTGTTGGAAAGGCAGCATCACACTTGTCACATTGGAACTGTTTTTTGTGTGTGGTCAGGTGACATTGGAACTCCACTTCAGATTGGAATGCCATGTGACAAAATAAACATCGATACATGCGAGTGGAATGGTGCAGATGATCCATTCGTATATGCAAGTGAAGATCACTTTCTTTGCGGAAAACAACACCACATTTGGTGCATTTAAAGAGTTTACTTTCATTACTGTGTTTAATAGCAAAGTGGACTTGCACAGACACTTTGCTATCAAATACTTCTTTACATAGTGAACACTTATATAGATGATGGGCATGTATGTCAAACAAATGCTTTTGAAGTTCATCAGGTTTGGGAAATGATTTAACACAATTCTGGCAACTGTACTCAACATTAACTGCCACAAAATGTGTGACAACATGTTTTTGCATTTCTTCTTCTCTTGCAAACTCTAGATTGCAGTAGGTACATGTATTAGGTCCAGTAGCAGAATTCCCCATATGTGTTTTCAGATGAGACTGCAGCTGCTCCAAATCCTGGAAATTCTGCTGGCACTCTGGACACTGTATAGTACAATTTTTCTCCTTTGCAACAGAGCCTGGATGAACATCATTCTCCATCATTTCACTGTTACTATGGATACTGGCAGATTCTCCATCTGGTGTTGCTATGACTATGTTACCCTCCTTTCGGTGCTGTAGTTCTACATGGATCTGCAGCTCTTCGATGGAATTAAAAAGATTCTGCTCAATGCAGTATGGACATGGATATTTCATAGTCTCTAGTGGTTTTCTGTGTGTCTTTTCGCGATGCTCCTCAAGCATCTCCTGACTTGTGTAAACCTTCATGCAATGTTCACAGGAAAACATGGCATTATGGGATGCATTATGTACATTTTCTAGATGTTCTTGAAGAGATGTTTCAGAGGCAAATCCCATTGTACACTGCTGGCAATACCATTTATCCATGTTTGAAATTGCATGAACATTACTAATGTGCATTTGAAGTTCAGCTTCCCCATCAAGCTGCAAAGTACAATACTGACAGCAATGTTTCTTGTCATGTAGTGATTTGATGTGATCATTAAGATTCATAATACTTGGTAACTCTTCACCGCAGTATTCACACGTATGTAGTTGTGTTGGCTTATCAGTGTGAATGGTCTCAATGTGAATACTTAAAACTGCAACACTTGGAAAATCATGTTTAGGGCAGTATGGACATCGATACTTGGCTTTGTACTCTGGTCTCTGACTATGTGTGTTCATATGCTCATACAGGAAGTCTACTGTCTGAAAGCACTCTGTACAGATTGGGCACTTATTTCTCTTGTCATGACAGTGTGCTTTTTCCACATGCACTAATAGTGCATTTTTACCATTGAATAATTCTGCACAGTAACTACACTGCATTACAGTCTCTTTGTTTGCATTCTGACTGTGTGTCAATACGTGCATTTGTAGATCTTGTGAGGAATTAAATGACAAGGTACACTGCAGACATTTAAACTCCTTCTCCTTACATGTGGATGCATTCCTATGATGAGAAAACGAATGAGCAGTCAAACCTCCAGCTGTGGTGTAACCACGGTTACAGACGTTGCACTGAAAGGGTTTGTTTGAGTTATGTGTCTTCACATGAATTTTAAGGTGGTCACTTCTGGCAAATGCAGCCTGGCAGTGCGGACATTGATATTTCTTATCACCTGTGTGCAGTTTCACATGGCGATCTCGACTTCTTTTGTGTTTAAACAGACGACTGCAAAAATTACATTTCCATGGCATCTGATCACTATGTACCTGTTCATGCTTCTTGAGATATGTTAGACGTGAGAAAGCTTTATCACAGAACTGACACGCATATGGATTCAAAGCTCCAGGACTCATTGTATATTGTTGAGAATATGAGAAATCCATATTATGTTGTCCAACAAGATATGCTTCAGTTCCATCTTCATTCAATTTGTACATGGCTTCTCCATCTGAAACAATTAACAAAATACGTCCTTGTCAATTACTGTAGAATACTTTATTTTCGTTATTTTCACTGAAGAGATGATTCCGTGAAAATAAAATCCAGCGAATATACGTTTTTTTCCTATATTTCACATTAAACTCATCAAAAATCAGTGAAAATAAATTCCATACAAAATGCCCAAAAAGCCTTTTCAGCGAAAATTAATTCCAGCGAAAATAAAGTATTCCACAGTACATAGGCCCTGTTTGGATGAATTATATTTGAGGACACAAAAGTTTGAATAAACCTGGGCCAAGAATCTTTGAGAAATGATGACTGAAATGTTGAAATTGATTGTGACAAAAATGGTCCCTAGTAGCTTACATGAAAAATCAAACTGATCTTCCAAATACAAACCATTGGCAGTATTTAACAAATCTAGTTGCTGAATTGTGGAATGGCAAAACCATTGATTTGATGAATTTATTTAGATCATGAAATGAACACATATGCATATGTCTGATATGATGTATGTGTGATGTTTGAACAGACACTGTGAATGCCAAGACGCGCATATAGCTGAGTTTATAAGACCCCGTTTTTTAGCCATTTATCACAATTGCGGGATGAAAATCAAAGTTAAACTGTGCAGAGCTCCCATGTGATCAGTATTTATGCAAATATATGTTAATAATCTTGACAGACAGCAATTCAAATAGTTGAAACAATACTAATTCTTTTGTATTTCACATGTCTGTATACTCGTACATTAGTATATTGGTAATAAGGGTGTGTTGGATGTGAACAGAGACCTGACATTTTTCGCTGATGATTTATATGTGATTGGATAACAGAAGTTAGGTTCTGATTGGATTATAGCTGTATAATTAGGAAATTTTAGCAGTTTTTGTTAAAACAATGTATTAATATTGAAAAATTAATGAAAACTACTAATAAATATCTGTACTAGTAAATCTATGTTCATGTTAAGTAATTGTTACTATAATTTTTCTGTACAGAATTTGCAAATATTGTTATTCAAATGTAATCAAAATCACAGTATCTTTGTGTTATTCATATCCCTTTTTGAGATTTTGCTTACATAAACAGACAAACACACATACATGTAGAAGCTAATATTCAAAGTTTTGAGGTTTGTGTGAGGCTTGAAATCAGTACCACCAGAATGCACTGGTGCATTTACAAAAATACGCATTGTGCGCCCCCTAGTTGTGCCATCATTCTGTATTCTGTGCCCCTCATTCTGCCCTTATACTGTTATAACATTTGTAGGGGCATCGAAAAGTACAAAACTATTGGAAACAAACTAATCATTTTGCGCTCTCCATTCGCGTACAAAGTATTTTTGTTTTCAGAGGCGCAATCTAGTCTTGTTATAAAGTGATCCAATCTTAATCTAATAATTTTACAATTCTTTTTTTTTAAATTGCTCTTTAGTTGGGATACATTCTGCACCATCGAAAAGCAATCCAATGTTGTTTTATATGACTCAATCTAGGTCTACCGTTACGTAGTTGATACAATGTTTCACTTTATTATATGCATTCCACTGGGACCACTTTTGTATTTCATCATGCAATTTTATGAAAAGAAAATCCAACTCCATACTTGCGTGTCTTTGCACTAGTATTTTACAACAAGCAGCCTCTCGGCTGAGATAGCTCCGCTGTTAGCAATGCACATTTCAATTAAAGAACAGAAGATATCATTAGAAAATGAACAATATTCAAAATTCGAAAATATCATTTTTCACCATAAATGATTGTGGTTTTTAACAAGAAGAAAATATCACTTTTTACCAAAAATTACAAAAATATTCATCAAAATTAGAGAATTGAAGTTATCACCATGAAATGAACAAATCTGAGAGAGGTGCACATGTAGTACCTATATATGTAGCATCAAAGCAATCAGACTTGCGGTATTTAACAAGAAGTTAAAAATATCACTTTTTACCAAAAATGACAAAAATATTCATCAAAGTTAGAGAATTGAAGACATCATCATGAAATGAATAAATTTAAGAGTGGTCCACATGTAGTACCTAAATATGTAATATCAAAGCAATTGGACTTATCATTTTTAACAAGTAGTTGAAAATATCACTTTTTACCAAAAATGACAAAAATATTCACCAAAAATAGAGAATTAAAGATATCATTACAAAATGAACAAATCTGAGAGAGATCCACATGTAGTACCTATATATATAATATCAAAGCAAGTGGACTTACAGTTTTCAACAAGAAGTCGAAAATATCACTTTTTACCAAAAATGGCAAAAATATTCACCAAAATTAGAGAACTGAAGATATCATCACAAAATGAACAAATCTGAGAGAGATCCACATGTTGTATCTATATATGTAATATCAAAGCAATTGGACTTGCGGTTTTTAACAAGAAGTCGAAAATATCACTTTTTATCAAAAATGACAAAAATATTCACCAAAATTAGAGAATTGAAGATATGAAATGAACAAATCTGAGAGAGGTCTACCCAAGGTACATATACACCAAGTATCAAAACAGGCTTGTAGTTTTCAAGAAGAAGTCGAAAAAGTAAAACATTGACACGTACGCCGGACGCCGCCGGACAATCACTCATATGATAAGCTCCGCTGTCTGTCTATCTCACACATACCTCAAGTTTTCAAATATTTAAATAGGAATGGACTTACCAGCAGAATCAAAGGAACTTTCTTTGCTATCTAAGATGCGAGGACTTCCATCTATTCCCATATCTGGTAAGACAAAGATGAGAAAAGAGAAATTTGAATTAAAATTATTCACGTAATCACACAGACAGTTATTCATGGAAACAACAATAACGTTGACAGACAATAATCCCTCCTCACTGTTGTAACATTACAGGTAAGGCACAATTTGGTGTGTATCTGAGAAATAAGTGATGTCATATATGATAGAGGTGCAATTATGTCTAAAATATGTCATATTTTTATGAACCAGTATATTAAATCTGTGCTTCTAACAGAAGATTCCCTTTAAACTAATATTCCCACAATACAGTATGTTTTTATAAGTCCTCAACTAATGATATTTGTGTACGGAATACAGCCACGTAGCAACAAGATGAGATGAAGAACTGACAATGTCAAAAAATTAGTGAAAAATACAGGATAATGAAACAAAAAGTGTCAGGGGGTAAATAATAATAATTAATTAATAACATGCATTCTAGAGAGTTTAAAGGTCAAATTTCACCTTCATTACATTGCATATTTCTATGGTCCATAAACTTCGATAAGCTGGTGAACGTGGCTCTACAACAATCACATTTGTATATTTCACCCTCTTCCTCTTCTCCGTTCATCATCATCATTTCCTCATCATTTATTTCATCACTATCAGAATCTTCATCACTTTCAACTTTCATCATTGCCATCCTGTTCTCATCCCCGCTACCCGCATCCAATTGGTTGTCATGGTTACTAGCTGTAATACATTATATCATCAAAATTATTCCATCCTGTTTTCATCTACTTTAGTTCTTTTATAACAATATAATATCAACAATTCATTTTCCAAATATGTTCAGAACTGAGTGGATTCAATGTCGCATCCAGGATTTGAAAAAAGAGAAGGAATTCCCCCATCACTCAAAAATAATGGGTGAATTTTTTGAATAAGAGGAGAATTTGACACCTGATGGTAGTTGAGTATTCTGAGTACCGTATAAGAGGAGGTTTTTTTTAAATCATTACTCACAGGTAGGATGTTGAGTGCTGTATATATGTATCGCTCATAAAAAACAAGCAGCCTATCGGCTGAGATAGCTCCGCTGTTAGCAATGCACATTTCAATTAAAGAACTGAAGACATCATTAGAAAAAGAACAATATGAATAGTATCAAAGCAATCAGACTTACAGTTTTTAATAAGAAGTCGAAAATATCACTTTTTACCAAAAATTACAAATATATTCACCAAAATAAATTAATTAGAGAATTGAAGATATCATCAAAAAATTAACAAATCTGAGAGAGGTCCACATGTAGTACCTATATATGTAATATCAAAGCAATCGGACTTACAGTTTTCAACAAGAAGTCGAAAATATCACTTTTTACCAAAAATGGCAAAAATATTCACCAAAATTAGAGAATTGAAGATATCATCACAAAATGAACAAATCTGAGAGAGATCCACATGTAGTACCTATATATGTAATATCAAAGCAATCGGACTTGCTGTTTTTAACAAGAATTTGAAAATATCACTTTTTACCAAAAATTACAAAAATATTCACCAAAATTAAAGAATTAAAGATATCATCACGAAATGAACAAATCTGAGAAAGGTCTACATGTATCTATATCAGTAATATCAAAGCAATTGAACTATTGGTTTTTAACAAGAAGTCGAAAATATCACTTTTTACCAAAAATGACAAAAATATTCACCAAAATTAGAGAATTGAAGATATCATCAGAAAATGAACAAATCTGAGAGAGGTCCACATGTAGTACCTATATATGTAATATTAAAGCAATCAGACTTGCGTTTTTTAACAAGAAGTCGAAAATATCACTTTTACCAAAAATGACAAAAATATTCACCAAAATTAGAGAATTGAAGATATCATCACGAAATGAACAA